ACCTGCAGGTCGGCAATACCGGATAGGGGACAGCCGGTAGCATCAGGGACCATCAGGACCAATCCCTGTATTGCCTCAGGTCCCCTGCCCTACGAACATCAGCAGTCTCTCTCTCTCTCTCTCTCTCTCTCTCTCTCTCAGCTATATTCTTCTCTGAATTTCACCTCACACCACCTACCTACCACAACTCCTAATTGTAACATACAGGGAAGAACCCCGTAGCACCCAGAACCGTGTTCACGAGAGAACATGCACGGGCTGCTCCCGACCTGCAGGTCAGCGATACCAGGTAGGGGACAGCTGGTAGCATCACGGACCATGCCAACAGGACCAATCCCTGTGCCTCGCCTCAGGTCCCCCGCCCTACGAACATCAGCAGACTCCGTCTCTCTCTGTCTCTCTCTCTTTTCTTTTCTTTCAATTTTGCGGCTTTCATTTTGTTTTGCTTCAATGGCAATATCTTTTTTTGTTATATTTTAATTCTTTTCTTTTGTTTTCTTTCAATTTCGTGGGCCAAAGCCATCACAGTCGGTTAGGCACGTAAGTGGCATTCAGGACGTTGTCTGTTCGAGCCCCACGACGGCCTGCGGTGCACTTAGTGCCAACCACCTAAATGAGATTCCTTTCACTCTTCTAACAGTACTCGGATAGCTTACTCTTCCGAAATTTCCGTGAAGGTGTGGAAATCCGAAAGGCACCTTGCGGAGACAAAAATGTCTCGACTCTCGGATTTGCAGGCTGTTGAGACGCATGCACCATTTACCTTCCTTTTTTTTTTCCCTTCGTTTTTCTTTTACATTCGTGGCTTTTCTACTGAAATGGATTTCCTTCGATTATGCAAGTCCAGATGAATGTCAACCCGCTGATGATTATCAGTAATCAGACTCGTGTCCAGTTAGAACTAGATGAGATAATCATACAGAGACGAAGGAGAGCGGAGGGAGATTAGACAAAGGAGAGGAATAAACAAAGCCCACTCCAGCTTCAGGCTCCCTCCTCGATCACCACCTCAAATAATCAATAGTCTGAACACATATCCGAAGTTCTACTACATGTCGACATGAAGACAACCAGGTAAGCATCCACGATCTCTCCACAGTCTTGATCTCCTCTTGAATGACGATAATCAGAAAAGCAACACAAGTCACATAGCTTCGCCTCGTCAACCAGTAGTACACGTAGCAGCAGCCACATCAGCGACAGCGCATGGCAACTGCCACGTCAGCATGCCAAGAAGACAGGTGCAAGCCAGCCACCATGTCGGACCAGCAGCGCGTCGCCGTAGACACAATGCCAGCGCAGAGCCAACGCTCAGCCAGCTTCGCAGCGTCGAGCCAGAGTCGTCGTCAACGCGTGAAGACAGCATCGACGTAAGACAGAATGAATGTCAAAGGCAGGAAAGTCAGCGCTTATGTAGCGTTGACTCGGGGTCTGGACCCCGGATGCTACCACCCTCAGCCGTCCAGATCTTGATGCAAGTAAGGCCCAGATTGGTCTGAAACCGATTTCCCTCCGGCCTGAATGCTTGTACCTGCGCACAACAAGTGAGTGTATCCAACCAAGGGCCTCGGTGCGGTACCTTTGACTCTAGAGTTGACTTTGACCTTTCAATTTCCTATGTGCAGCGTTTGGTCACACAGCCAACGTGACAGACTCAGGCCTGGGCGTGTCTTGGTCGCACAGCCCAGCGCAGACCAACTCAGGTCAGCGTTGCCTGGGGCTGAGTTGTGGGCCCCAGGCTACTTCTGAACAGGGTTACTGCACGCAAATCACGCTCCAAAGATTTCGTGCAGTTGGAGATCATGATTGCATTCATACAGTGTTGTTCTCGGAACCAACCAAAAAATCCTTTCTTTTGCGCCTAAGTGCCATTCAGAAGGTGGTGGTTTCGAGCCCTGTCACCGCCTGCTGCGCACTGCGCCACGCCCCCGTCCCCGAACCAATTCCGGTGACTACATCCTTCCAGGTACCTTTTTTTTCCTATCTCTTTTCTTTTACTTTCACAGCCTTTGTATGGAAGCGGATTTCGCAGCTTCTATCCGCCTGGATTCGAGCCCCCGCCCTTCATTAAAAAAAAACAAAAAAAACGAAAGAAACCAAAGATGAAACACTGGAAAACAGAAACGAAAGAACGTTTGTAACAGTTCCTTACTCTTCCCAAGTTTCCGTGCCGGTGGAATTGATGATTGCGTTCGTACAGTTTCTTTTGCACTTGACCACGCTTCTTTTCTTTGTTACGATCCTGGCCAATTTCGAAGTCCACAATTGTTATGATCTTGGTTGTCTGACAAATTTCCTCGCCACTCAAACACAGACAGTCTCATACATGCCCATACATGCACAAGACATGGGGAGAGAGGCGACAAAGTCCACACAGCACACAGGAGAAGATAACAGCGGAAGACAATCATGCACAGCAGGGGAGAAGACACACAGTGTTTCTCACTCTCTCACACAACTCCCAACAACCAATCACAAGAAAGAACCTCCGAAGATCACAATTGAAACTGTCACTGATGATGAGCCACTCACACTATTATTGTAACAGAGTTTGTTCCAGTATCTCGCCACACCCAAACTCACACCCCACTCTCTATCCTACACCCAGTTAGTAGCGCTATGTCAGAACAGCCTCCCAGAGGCCAGCGCCAACCACCCTATAATGAAGAACAGGTCCTGCGATGAAGTCTTCAGTGCCGCTGGACAACTCTGACGAAAGAACAGGCAGCTATGGCTGCCACCACCCACAAACCACTCAGTGTAGAGCCTCAACGTAGCCCGACCATACGCAGATACCCCCAAGGGTAGATGCGCTGAGGATGATCACCAGTACGGATGGGGGAAGGCCGCCTGTGGCGATTGGCTTGTTCAATCATGGCCTTTTGGGCCTTGAACAAGTTCGCGCGGGCTCTTTCCACATCCAGACGATAGCGTCTGGCGAACTTTGCGGTGCCTGGCGTCAGATCAGGCTTAGCCTTGTCAATGATATCATCGAGAGGCTGGCGCGGTTCACATCCCCAGTGTAACCGGTAGGGACTGAACCCTGTCGAGGAGTGGACAGACATGTTATACATGAGCTGTGCCCTCGCTAAGTGAAGATCCCAGTCCTGTTGATCTTGAGAGATGACAGGACGCAGCAGCTGGAACAAGACTTGGTTCATCACCTCAGCCAATCCATTGGCTTCAGGATGATGACCAAAGGTCATGTCTAGACGTGAGTGCAAATAGTCCTTGCAGTAGGACTGCCACTCATCGCTGCAAAATCTGGGGTCACGATCACTGACGATAGAGGTGGGCGGTCCATGGTGTGTGACCCACCTCTCAGAGAAAGCTGCTCTCACAGTCGGTACCCTAGCTACCTCTGACAAGGGGATGAACTTTGCGTATTTGGAGAACTTGTCCACGCAGACCATAACCTGACGCATGCCACGAGGGGTGGTCTTGCCTAGATCTGTGAAGTCTATCGACACAGATTGGGCAGGGCCATCAGGTATGGGTAAGGGTTTGAGCAGTCCCAAAGGAGGTTTACGCTGAACCTTGTTCCTTTGGCAGAGCTCACAGGTGTCCACATAACGCAACATCTCACTCCGCATCTCCTTCCACAAGAAGCGCTGCGACAAGGCTGCATAAGACTTTAGGAACCCGAAGTGTCGACGGGCATCATGACACTCTGATAGCAGCAGTGTCCTGAGCCGCTGGTCCTGGGGAATGCACAAGCGCTCCTCACCTCTGATGTAGGTGTACAGCAAGTCTGAACTCAGAGCATAGCCTGGTTCAGAGTTAGGATCTGCTTGCAGATTCCTGACAATGGGTCCAAAAGTCTCATCCTGAGGCAGTAGACGAGCAATGGTCTGACGGGTATCCTCTCCAAAGGAGTGAGTAGAGGAGATCAGAGCAAAAGAGTCAGGCCTACGAGAGAGGGCATCTACCACCTTGTTGTAGCAACCCTTCTTGTGTTTCAGCTCAAAGTCAAACATGTCTATGAACTGAATGTACCGTGCCAGTTTATCGTTCAACTCTCCCTGGGACTTCATCCACTGTAGGGTGAAGTGATCTGAAAAGATCTTGAAGTGCCTGCCCAGGAGAAAGTGCTTCCAATGTTTCGGGGCACAGACAAGAGCATTCAGCTCTTTCTCGTAGGTAGAGTCCTGGAGCTTTTGAGTCTTGATCTTCTTACTCATAAACTCTACAGGTCGTAGACCATTCCCATCATCCTGCTGAAGTACTGCCCCAATGCCATACTGACTGGCGTCAGTGGTCAGGATAAATGGCAGAGTGGGGTCAGGTAACTTCAGGACATGCGCGCGAGTCAAGGCCTTCTTGAGTCGTGTGAAGGCCAGCTAACAATGGAGGGACCAAAGAAAGGGAGTGTCCTTCATTTTTAGGTTGGTCAGGGGTGCGGCCACTGCAGAAAAGTTCCTGACAAACTTTCTGTAGTAGGAGGCCAAACCCATGAAGGACCGGACATCCCTCACTGTCTGTGGCTGAGGCCACTCCTGAATAGCAGCAATCTTGGCTGCTTCAAGAGCCAGGCCATCTCCAGAGATTACGTGACCCAGGTAGATGACAGAGGGAACTCCAAAAGAGGACTTCTCTCTGTTGATCTTGTACTGGCTGTCGCATAACGACTGAAGAACTAGAGCCAAGTGCTCCGCATGTTCCCTGGCAGTTTTGCTGAATACCAGGATATCATCCAGGTAGACAACCATAAACTTGTCCAGGTAAGGCCTGAAGATGCGGTGCATCTCTGTCTGGAATGTGCCTGGGGCATTGCAAAGTCCAAATGGCATGACCAGGAACTCGTAAATTCCATACCTGGTCTTGAAGGCTGTCTTATAGACATCCTCCTCTGCCATCTCAATCTGGTGGTAGCCAGACTTGAGATCGACTTTGCTGAACACTGTGCAACCCTGCACCATATCCAGGAGGTCATCGATCCTAGGAAGTGGCTCAGTACTCTTCCTAGTGATCTTGTTGAGACCCCTATAGTCAATGCACATCCTGAACTCGCCGTTCCCTTTGGGCACAAAGAGAACAGGTGCACCAAATTCAGATGTGCTGGGTCTGATCCAGCCCTTGCTGGTCAGGGTCTCAAGCTGCTTTCTGAGCTCCTCAAGCTCAGCAGAAGACATCCTGTAGACGCGACCCTTAGGAGGGACCGCTCCAGGCAGCAGCTCGATGTGATGCTTGGTTGGCCGGTTGGGTAACCCAAAGGGCTCCTGCATCAGATCAGCATACTGATCCACTACTTGCTGTATCTCAGGAGAACAGGAAACAGGGGGAGCATCTATTTGCTTGACCAAAGTTATGAACAGACGCGAGAGAGAGCATGGAACTCCCTCGCTCTCAAGCAGTAGAAGGAGGTCTGAGGGTGATGTTCAGCAGCAATCATGCACTGCTGATACACACCCTGACGGTCTGGTAGCTCAACTCTAGGAGTCTGCCAGTCGATCCTAGGGTTGACTACTCTCAACCACTGCATGGAGAACACCAACTCAAAGGGCAGCTCAGGGAAGACATAAAAGTTCAGACTATGTCTGACTTTCCCAGCAGTGTCAAAGGTCACCGGAATGGAATGCCTTTGACTTTCTCCCAAATGTTGATCACTGTAGAGTCACCAATCCGCACCTGCAGCGGCTGATACCCAGATGCAGTTTTTTGACTGCACTGGGAGATATGAAGTTCCGGGTGGCTCCACAGTCCAAAAGCCCAGTGACCCTGGTGCGGTTGATCAGTGGCCGAAGCATGATGAGTTCAGACAGGCCCTTCTTCTTCTGCTCTCTCAAGTGGAAGAAGAAGGCAGCAATGGACTGAAGCTCAGTCCCCAGGGTCTGTTTCAGATTTTTGACCGACCCGGGCCTGGCATGTAAGGGCAGTCCTTTAAGAAGTGTTGTCCCTCACATCTCAGGCAGACCCCCTTCTCCTTTCTTCTTCTCCAGACTCCCTCCTGGATCTTGAGGTCATGCCAGGGGAGCGAGGAGGGATTGAGAGGGTCAGCTGACATGCGGACGTCTCTAGGCAGATTAGGGCGCTGGGAAGAGGAAGGACGACGTCCCTTATCCTTCCCCTTAGTAGAGGCTGAGGCTGTGGAGGGGGAATACTTTTTCTGCGCTTGCAAAGCTCCCAACACAGCCTGAGTCACTACTGCTGCAACACATGTCTCAGCAGCATATCCGGTCCCACCTGAAGGCACATCAGGCTGTGAATCGGTATCTGATCCTGAGGCAGATCCCACGTGAGTAAGGGCAGCCTTTCCCCTTCTGTTGCCTCTAGGGAAGGCACCCTTCTTCCTGTCAGAGGTTGGGGCCTGGACATGGAGCTCGGCTTCCATTTCCAGTCCTTATACCCAGCGCTGTAAAATGCAACAACAAACTTCTAAGGCGCTGCCCTGCAAAAACTGGTCAGTATATCATCACGTGCCATAACCAGTCCAGGGGTGGAGGTAAGCTGCTCGAACTCAGCAAACAAGGCCTGTAGGGTTCCGCTATACCGCTGCTGTCCCAGGCGAGCAATCCTGTCAGCAACCTTGTGGGCCCGCTCCTTGTCTGCAAACCGGTCCTCCAGGGCCTGCAGAAGTCTGTCTACCCCCAACCCAAAGGCCCAGTCCTCCATGGACTGTTGCAGACTGCTGGAAGTTGAAGTGGCCCACTTCAGTGCAGGCCCTTCCAGCAGCCCCAAAACAGTTGCCACCTTGGTTTGTTCTGCACAGACAAAGCCCCTCAAGTAGGCTCTGGTCCCAGCAGCCCAGTCCCCAACATCAGTCTTGGGGTCATCGCCCCTGAACTTGTTGGGAGCAGGGATCTTGGGACCTCTGTCTGCTGCAGTCACAGCAGCATAGGTGGCCTTTGTTGAGGCCTTTTGGGAAGGAGTAGATGACCGGGAAGAATGTACAGATCCCCCATGGGATGTCGGAGGGGAAGGAGGTGGTGAAGGAGGAGGAGAGGTTTTGCGTTTCAGCAGAGGGAGCTGAGGAGTAATCAGCTTGGCGGCTGCCAGCTGAGCCGACAAGCCCTGGATAGAGTCCAGGATCTTCGACTACTGAGATGACAACTCGTCAACCCGACGCTCCAGCCGTACAAAGCGATCATCCCAATTTGTAAACTGGGAGCTGGTGATCTTGTGCTCCAACAGGATCATCTCAGCCATGTGCTTGGTGACCTGGGAGCACCGATCATCAGCGAGAGACTTGTCTAGCTGCTGCAACAGATATTCTCTCCTGGAGTGATCTGTTGCAGCCTCCAGCTCAGCAGCCTCCAACCGTTCCAATTCAACCACTCTGGCCTGTTGCAATCTGAGTTGTTCCTCTGCCTCCTTCTTCAACCTTTTGAGTAGCAGTCAGAGGTGGAGGGGGTGCAGTGGAGGCATAAGGTTGTTCACCTTCTGCCTTCACCACGACCTGCACATGTGGCTACTGCTCATCCCCCTGTTGGGACATTTTCCCAGTTCAAATAAAACCCAAAAATAAAATAACTGCAGAAAGAATTGCAGCGATACACAGATTCCTGCAGATACCCTGGAATCACTGCAGCACTCAACACTAGAGTAGGTGGGTGAGTAGGCAATCAACGGTTTGGGGTTAGAAGGGTGTCTCTAGGTCAGGTGTCAGACAGACTGTAAGTCCAGCAAAATCAGTCACTCGATTTCCTTTTACTGACCCTGGACCACACTAGAAGCAACACAGTCACTCCACTAGTCTTCCAGAGACCCACTAGAAGTTCCAGTGTCCACTAGAAAACAAGAGTGATCAGTGGGAATGATAGAAATGGTTAGTACAGACACAGAGAGATCAAATACAACAAGCGATGCAGACAGATACCCTGTAACCTGACTCAGACCCAATTTCAGACCCTGATGACTCTGGCGGCCATACCCTAGGGTATGGCGAATCACAGTTTTCACTGTATCCAGTGAAATACTAGAAATCCAACTCAGTGATTTGACAGTACTGACTGTTTTCAATTTGCGATTTACTGGGGACTGACAGAACTGAATTCTGACGGACAGAATTGAAGTTATGTTCGACCCTAGATAGCACAGGCTAAAAATAGACTCAGCGCAAAACATCGATTCCCAGTATCACTACTTTTCCCGTATAGAATTCACCGTTTGATCATCCCAGAACAATCGCAATACAGTATAGCTGTCACAGGACAAGTTTGGACTAGAAAGAGTCAACAGATGATGAGATATGAGCAGAGGGAGGTAGGGGAAGAGATGGCTATGGCTGTCATGCAGTCTGCGATTTTCATATCCAGTCACTGACAGACAGATAGACCATTATCTTTCACTAATCTACTACTGATCGCAATACAGGTAGGTGCATGGAACGGACTCACTTGCAGAGAATCTTGCAGGTGATGATGAAGATGGCAGATGAAACCCTTATCTCGCCAATTTCCTCCAGAGCTTCTCCCAGACAATCCCACGAACAGAACCTCCTCAAAATTGTTGATCCTCTTCAGGATCATGTGGCGCTGCACCCCTTTACTCCAGATACCTTGTATCTGGTCCAATGGCACCCAATTCCCCAACTCCAAAATATCTCGCCACAGTGCCAGGTAGCCGCTGATGCTAAAAATAGCCCCAGATGGGGTTATTCCTCCTGGAGATTGATATACTGCATCAATCTCTATCAGCGCCACCCAGGGATGATGCCGCTCAGGGTTCCCTGATGTCCTCAAGGGTAACTCGCCACTCTGGGGTAATTCGTAGTATTACCCTCAGGGTTGGCTATGGCGAATTAGCCCTGTACTCGCCACTCCTTGCCAAGCGCCCTGACAGGCTCAGTGCGCTTGTTCAGTGCCACCACAAAACACTTGAATTCACCGCTGAAAATCTTCTTCCCTGCTGACTCTGTACTGGGGAAGATGAACCGCCATGAAACTCTCGCCAGTATATTGCCAGGATGAAGAAGATGCCTCACTGCACTCAACCCTGAGTGCTCCAATTCCAATCTCGCTCCGATACCAACAGTTATGATCTTGGTTGTCTGACGAATTTCCTCGCCACTCAAACACAGACAGTCTCATACATGCCCATACATGCACAAGAGATGGGGAGAGAGGAGACAGAGTCCACATTGCACACAGGAGAAGATAAACAGCGGAAGACAATCATGCACAGCAGGGGAGAAGACAGTGTTTCTCACTCTCTGACACAACTCCCAACAACCAATCACAAGAAAGAACCTGCGAAGGTCACAATTGAAACTGTCACAAATGATGAGCCACTCACACTATTATCGTAACAGAGTTTGTTCCAGTATCTCGCCACACCGAAACTCACACCCCACTCTCTATCCTACACCCAGTTAGTAGCCCTATGTCAGAACAGCCTCCCAGAGGCCAGCGCCAACCACACTGATGAAGAACAGGTCCTGCGATGAAGTCTTTAGTGTCGCTGGACAACTCTGATGAAAGAACAGGCAGCTATGGCTGCCACCACCCACGAACCACTCAGTGTAGAGCCTCAACATAGCCCGGCCATACGCAGATACCCCCAAGGGTAGATGCGCTGAGGATGCCCCTGCTGTGGCAACCTCAGAAAGGGCCGGCTATGGCCGCTGTTGCTGTCTGTCTCAAGATGCCGCCGGCAGACAGGTACCGCCACCAACTTGCTTGGCTTATCCAACCCTGTTCGTGAGAAATGAACTGCCAAAAGTCCTGAACCAATGGGCCTAACCTATCTATAGACTACTAGGACCAAGACCGGACTGACAAACCGACCGGTACCGTTCCTGTTTCGGCCTCTCGGCCTCTACCAGACCCGGCTACAGGCTATAGGACCGTCTAGCAGCATAGGCCGCTTAGGGCCTGTCTATCCTAGGGGTAGCCCGGGCCTGCTATCAGCAGTTAGGGTAGCTGTAGGAATTCAGGTTAGTGTTGGGCCTATATTTTCCCAGATTTACAGATCTGTCCCTCAAGAATCTCCCTACAGGCAAGTCTCTCGATTAGCCCTCAGCCAAACAAAATTACGAATCTAACCTATCGGGTTAGTGTACAACCTCGTTGTTAATCTCAGCAGCAGAAACCAGCAAGTCATTGCACAATCATCAGAAAGTACAATGTTGTCCTATTGCGAAAAAAAATGAATGAACTTGAGCCCAATGCCGTCCAATTGCAAAAGAAATGAAAGAACTTGAGAGGAGAGAGAGGGAAAGAAGAAGAAGAAGAATYAAGAAAGAAGAAAGAGATGATGTACTCCAGCATAGACTAAAGACAAAGCTCTTCTTCTTCGCTCACCAACTTCCTCCTCTTTATCTCCTCCTCTCTTATTCAAACAATAAATAAACAATAATAATATTGAACAGCTGAACCAGAATCAATGTCTGAATCCCACTTCTACTGCAGGCACAAGATGAGGTCCACCATAGCCATGGCAGCCCTTCTTCTTCCTCCACATACAGGCCGAGGCTATGGCGGACTACGGAGGCTTCAGCCTCCTGTACACAAGACAACCCCAAAGCAGTTACACCGCTGCCCCACTTCAAGGTCATCACCCAGCAGCTATGCCGCTGCCCACTCAACCGCCATGCCTGACTCTGCCCGAGCTTCCTTGATGCGGCACTACCCCCACTGGGGCCTTCCTAATGCAGCGCCTAGCAAGGAGATGAAGATGGTGTCTACCATAGCCAGTAAGTACCTCGCCACTCTCCTCCTTGGTCCCCTTCTCCCTCCTCCTCCTACCGGTAGAGCTCCACCATAGCCAAGGTGGAAGCTCCCGGCTTCTTCCTCCCAGCAGCGCTGTAGTGCCCAGCGCTACTCCAGCCAACGCTCCATCATCGTGACGCCCAACTCGCACACTGAAGAATGAGGCCGGGCTCTTCGCCCTGCCTCTTGATATAGTGGCCTACTTGCCTCCTGGGCGGTGACTTCCAGGCCGCTCGGCCTCTCCAAGCAACCGGTACTACCTCCGTTTCGGAGGGAAACATCATTGCAGACCCTGATATTACCCGTACACGCTCTAGACTCAGACTGGTTGGACTGGTACCGGCCTAGACCTACCCTACCGCTACTAGACTCTAAAAATGCCAACTTTGTATTTTTCTGCTCGGCCTCTAGTACCCCTTCACGCCAACTGCAGTGGGGTGCACTATCGGCCTACCGGCCTACTTGAGTGTTTTTCCGCTACCCCAAGGGCCCTAGGGCCTCTAGCTTCGCCACTTGAGTGTTTTTCCCTGCTGCAACCCTCAATGCCACGGCCACAGGTAAGTACCGGCCCTACGGGCCTACCAAACAAGCAAGTACCCTTGCGGGTCACACCACACTCATACAGACAAGCACTCAGACAGGCACGCAGGTCACAAGCACACACACAGACACACTTAGAAAACACAGCAGAATGCGGGAATCTCATCAAGGCGTCCATTCCATCGGCAGAACTTCAAAAATCAGCAGTGTTCTCAGTCTGTGTTTTGACGGGTCATTACACTACTCCCCGCTCGAGAGCGAGGTCCCTTCGAGCGAGTAACTTAATCAGAGTCCTTGCAAAATGCATCATAAGTGTAGATAGCAAAGAGAGATCGGGTGTGTTCCGTAGGAGTCAGGGTAGCAGTGAATTTTGGTTGTTGTTCAGAACTTATCAATCGCTCATAGGCGTTAACGACACGTGGTGCACTCTGTAGTAAGTCTTTCTTAGCAATCCAGTAGAAATCATCCAGCGGATGGTACAGAAAATGGACTTTGTACTGTTTGTTTCTTCCCTTCCCACTGTGCTCGACAATTCTATCAACCTCGTGGCCGCCATTGATTGCGCGAGGAATCAACGATTCTCGATATTTGAACGTCTCAGGTGGCTCATACGGAAATAACTTCGATGCGTGGAAGACTGGATACGTGCGCAGATGCGCAGGCACATCAATTGTGTAAGAAGGACTGAAGGAATCATTACCTACTCGATTCAGCACCCTCCACGGACCGTAATACTGAGGAAGAAGTTTTCGTGACACGCCTTCTTCTTCAGAAAACTCAGACATCTTGACCGAGACATAACTTCCCACGGTGAAGGGATCATGCAGGCGCTTCTTGTTTGCATGGTTAATCATAGCACTGCGTCGCCTCTCCATGGCTGCGACAACGACTTTAAGCAAACGATCGTACGTAGCACTGTAGCCTGGCTGGCCAGGTGTTAGGCCAGGTGGCTGTTCCGGGAACAGATAGGATAGGGGATTGCGAATTTTCCATCCGAGGTGCAGCTGGTTAGGCGTCATCCCGGTGGAAGAGTGGATGGAGTTGTTGTACAACCCCTGCACAATCGGCAGGTCCTCATCCCACGAGTTCTGGTCAGGCACGATAAGAGCCCGAAGAAGTTGGATCACGGTCTGGTTGATCTCCTCGGCGAGTCCATTGGCTTCGGGGTGTCGAGCAGACGTCATCTTGAGTTTCATGTCGTAGGTCTGGGAGGTGAAGTCTTTCCAATATGCACTTATGAACCTGGTATCCCGATCACTCACAAGAGTCTTTGGGGGACCGCACTGCAGAATGTACCTCTTGTTAAATTCTTCGATCACAAGGTCAGTTGGGGCATGAGGTGGCAATGGGATTCAGTTCAAAAACTTGGAATAACGATCGACGATCACCATTACTTGGGAATAAATGTTTCTCCTCTTCTTCCCCATGTCCGTGAAGTCAATGGAAACAGACTCACCCGGGCCATCGGGGATAGGAAGAGGGTGCAGCAGCCCATAGGGCTTCTGTCGAGACGGTTTGATGCATTGACACACTTCACACTCAGCCACAAACCTTTGTGTCATTCTTTTCATTCCAGGCCACACAAACTTTTCCAACAGATTTCCGTATGTCTTCTCAACACCGAAGTATCCACTCCGGCCATGAGCCAAATCCAAGAAGTGAGTCATGATTGGCTCATGGTTGGGCACACACATTCGGTCATGCTTCCCGTAGCGTCGGAAAAGAAGGCCCTTCCACTCCTGGAAATCAGGCTGACTATTGGGTCAGCCCGGATCTGCTGAAGGATGGGACTGAGTTTCGGATCCTTGGCAGTATGCTCAATGAGCTCCTCCTTCAGATTCTTACGAAGGTCATAGGAACCCACAAGGCAAGTCATATATTCGGGGTGGCGAGACAAAGCATCCGCAACACGATTATAGCATCCTTTCTTGTGTTTGAGTTCAAAATCATACACATCAATCTCATGCAGCCATCTGGTCAATGTGGTTGATGGGTTAACCTGTTTCTGAATCCATTTCAAAGTCTCATAATCTGAGAACACTTTGAAATGGCGACCCAAGAGGTAGTGTTTCCAGTGGTCTAGTGCCTCTCTCAAGGCATAGAGCTCCCTCATGTAGGTGGAAGCGGCTACCTTGTGGCTGGGCATGCGTTTGCTGTAATATTCGAGCGGACGTAAGCCATCACCATCGTCTTGCTGCAGCACCGCACCAATCCCATACAAACTCGCATCCGTAGTTACTACGAATGTAAGCTTGGGATTTGCAATGCGGAGTACCGGATGACTCACCAAAGCCTCTTTCAATGCTTCAAAGGCTGTCGTGCATTCTTCATTTCATGTGTAGGACGCATTCTTGCTTGTTAGTCTAGACAGCGGATGGGCGATGATAGACAACTTGGGCACAAACTTACGGTAATATGACGCAAGACCAAGAAAAGAACGCAGCTCGCGGACATTCGCAGGTTGCGGCCATTTTTGGATGACCTCAACTTTGGTTGCCTCGGGCTGTAGGCCTGCAGCAGACAACCGATGTCCAAGGTAGACGACGCTGTCCCTCCCAAACTCGGATTTTTCCAAGTTGAGATGGAGCTGCGCGTCCTTGAGGATCTGCATCACTTCCTCAAGGTGTCTCATGTGCTTTTCCATCGATTTGCTCAAGATTAGTATGTCATCCAGATATACAACAACATATCGATTGATCTGATCACGAAATACCTTATCCATGAGACTTTGAAAGGTGGCTGGTGCATTTGTGAGACCGAAGGGCATGACTGTGAACTCGTACAACCCATCGCGAGTCTTGAATGCAGTTTTGTGCTGGTCTGCAGGTTCGACCTCAATCTGGTGGTAGCCAGACTTGAGATCGATCTTGCTGAAGACTTTGCACCCACCTGCAGCATCAAGCAAATCATCGATACGTGGCAAAGGATATGCATTCTTTCTCGTGATCCGATTCAACTTGCGATAGTCAATACACATCCGTAGTTTGCCTCCTTTCTTAGGGACAAACAACACCGGTGCACCAAACTCTGACTCACTCGGCTTGATCCATCCCTTCCCAATCATTTCATCAATCTGCCTTCTCAACTCCTCCAATTCGCCTGAGCCCATTCCATAGACACAACCCTTTGGAGGAGTGCTACCTTCAATCAACTCGATCCTGTGTCGGACCGGACGCACGGGGACTCCATGGGGTTCGGCCAAGACGTCAGGAAATCGGTTGAGAAGGTTGCGAATTTCCGGTGGGATTTCCGGAGGGGGATCATCACTCTCAGGAGCAAGCATGCCAGTTCGTATAGGTGCAGCCAAAACAACAGGATTAGAAGTAGAGTCATTTGGACTAGAGATGGACTTAGTAGAGGTAGAAGTAGTTGCATCCGAGGTGGACACAGCATGCGAAGTAGAATCATTACGTACAACAAAAATGGAAGGCACATGAGCAGGCCTAACAAAGGCTATATACATTTGCTCATCAATTTTGCCCCTGCACCACTTTTTGCAGAACTGCATTGCATTGAGAAAGGTCACTTGGGACTCGCGCGGCTCCTCCAAGAGGACTGGACGTTCGATTCCCATGGCATCTTTGACCATGAATTGTGAGTCCTTCCACGTGGTTCTTTCACATTGGGCCTGCAACCAGCC